TTTTTTTTTTTTTTTTATAAAATTTCATTTATAAGAAACGGTTAAAAATTCTAAACCCCCCATTGAAACATGGAACAAATCAAGCTTATTGAAAGTATAATTGAGCAATTAAAGATTTTAATCAATTGAATTTAACAGACGAACAAATTTTATTGATTGATAAACTCATAAAAAGTGAAGGTTTAAGAGAACGATATACAAAGTATGGTTTATATAAAGCATGTAGGCAACCGAATTCCAGTTATAATTGGTGTCAGTCATGCATTGCTAACCATTTTCAACAAAATTTCAAAAATTGGACTAGTAGAAATCATGTGATTGATGAATTCATTAAAAAAGAGCAACTTAAAGCAAAGAAAAGTCAGTTAATAGAGTGGATTGAATATGAAGAGTTCGAAAATATCGAATATTTGTCTAAAGGAGGATTTGGTACCACTTACAAATCAAATTGGAAGAATGGAAGGATTATTGACTGGAATGAAACATATAATCTATGGAGTAGAACTGGTAATATCCCTGTTGTCCTAAAATGTCTACATGATTCACAAGAAATTACGGCTGAATTTTTAAAAGAAGTAAGAAATAATCTTTTCATAAATCTTTTATAGAAGTCTTTTTATATACTCTTATATTTACTAATAATACCTTTCTTCAGATCGAAACACATATTATGTTGAATAATTCACCCGATATAATTACTTTCTATGGGATTACCAAGGAACCAAACACTAATAATTTTATGATTGTAACGAAACTTGCGGAAGCTTGAGACAATATTTAGATAAAATTTTTATTTCAATGAATTGGCAAGATAAGTTACAATTTGATAATTATTTCACATGGTCTCAAAGATATTCATGATAAAGGATTGATTCACCAAGATTTTCATTGTTGAAATATATTGAATGTGTCCAAAAATTATCACAAGATCGCCGATCTGGGATTATGTCGACCGGAAAATCAAAATCTTTTGCAAAATAATAAAAAGCAAGTGTATGGAGTGTTGCCATATGTGGCACCTGAAGTTTTAAAGGGAGAGGATTATACAAAAGCGAGCGATATCTATGGGTTTGGAATTGTATCATATGAAGTGATGACCGGATTGCCTCCTTATAATGATGTGGTCCATGAAGAATATTTGGCTATAAGAATTTGTCCAGGATTAAGACCAATGAACAATTATAAGGTTCCTCAACTAATGTTAGATATAGTTCAACAATGCTGGGATGCAAATCCTTCAAAACGTCCTAAAGCAAGTGAATTATTTGATTTATTTCACAACCTTTATAATTCTTATGAAGATAATAAGTCGTTGATTTATAAAAATGCTAAAGAAGCAGATGAAATCAATAAACAAAACATTTTTATCAAAGTTTACGTCATCTGTCGGTTCTCTATCATATAAATCACATTCTCAAGCAATTTTTACAAGTAGGCTTTTAGATTTTAAAAGT